TGGGGGGGGGGGGGGGGGGGGGGGAGATGATTCAATATAACTAATGTCTTCTTTCTAAAAAGAATAATAATCATAATAATAATGGTGGCTCAATATAACTAATGTATTCTTTTTAAAAAAGAATAAAAACCAAAACAGATCACCTTAATATGTAACTAAATTCCCAGTAAAAGGACATTCTAAAATCTTATGGACTAAAGAAGAAAAACCAGAGCAAATCAAGTTTGAAATAAAGATAAAGCTGCTTTACCACAGATGTATTATTCCTTTTTCTCTGTGAATAATAATTATTAGCATTTGCCTTCTGTGTAAAGTAATGCCACTAGCTACCAATAATGAAACTCGCCTGGCTTTTTATAAAGCACTGTTTGTCTATCAACTCAATGAATGATTGATATTAGAAGTTTAAGTCTGTATCAGTTTGGAATGCAGTGTAAAATGCTTATTAAAAGCAATTTAAAGCAGAAAGTCAAACTGATAGTATTTTCATTTATATTACCAAGAAAGGAATTCATAAAATGGTACAGAAGGCTTCTGTGTAATGTAAAAATGAAATATCTGTATAATTTAAAAGTGAAGGTTTCTAACTTCTGAGAGTGTTTAGAGAATTTTTTTCCCTTTAAATCTGGAAGCTTTAGTTACATATTTATTAAATTAAATATTTTTAGATCAGCAAAAAATAGTAATAGTTGTCATTAAAAGACCACTTATGTCTTTTCTGTCTTTTACAATCCTATAATGAACAACTTTAAAATTAGAGAAGTCACCTGAAATATACTTAGGTTGAATTAAGAGCTATTATTTGTCATATCTCTTGTATATATGGGATTTAGATTCACAATGAGACACCTAAAATTTCAAGGTTTTTTTCTGTAGAAAAAGGTTAACAACCTTGAAAATAGGAAAAGGTAATATTTCAGTCTGTAATCATTAAATTATATGTTTTATTTCCTTTAGCTTAGAATCATGACTCAAAAAATGGAGCTCTGTTCATATAACTATATAAACTCACTGCTTCCAGGAATCTAACCTCACAAAAACTAATGGCCAACTAATAAATGGAGAAAAGTCTTATTAGGCACTGAGAGGCTAAATAAATAAGAACTGACATTAACCAAAGCTGATAAACCCTATTTCCAGTTCCTGTTATCTCACTGTGCAGCCAGAACTGTTGGCTATTTCTTGTCTAAAACCAATGAGCTGGATCATTTCCTTACAGAAAAATTTCTACAAAAGGTAAGAGAATGCAAAACAATACACAATGTCATATGCAAGATACAATTCATACTAATTTACAAGTTTTTATTTACACTGTTTTATATACACTCCAGGCAGACCTAGTTGATGAGTTTTGTGCTCATATTGTTCTCAAATTATTATGTGAACAGTATGATTTACTACCACATCTCTTTGATTTTGAGAAAATGGTGGTAGCATGGGGTTAGGAGGGAAAAACAAAATCAAACATCACTGGTCAGGTAAGATCATACAGGTATGTAAGGGAAAAAAAGAAAAAAATTGTGGAATTTCGCTTTTTAAAGCATCCAGGCCACTATGGTCTATTGACTAACATTGAATATAAATGAATGCCACTTCTAACAACCATTTTCATATTTACAAAATGAGCTTACTACTAGTTGAGTTATTAAGTAAGGCATTCAAGTTCCTTAGCTCAACATAAAAAGGCAACAGACATCTCAGCAAGCCATAGGACAAATTTTAGAGAAATGATTTTAGAATGCTGTTGAGATTTACCCTCCTTTAGAATCCCTTAAATGGTGAATACAAAGGAAAGCAATTTTGAATTCCATTGCTAACCCTGCACGGTGATCCCAAAAACCTATACAGGAATTAGGAGCATCACAACACCCAAAATGTAAGCCCAAGAGTGGGGACAATAGCTTAAATATCTTTTTTTGTTCCCAAGATCCACTGCACACTCCCAGGGCTAAAATGAGAGCCTTTATTCCTGGTTACATTTACTTCTACACATGAAATGGTTTTACTCTGAAACACATAATAATGTCACAGCTAGCAGTTATGCAGTCATCCAGCAGTGGCTCAGTGAATCTCTATTTGAAATAGTTTGAAGTAAGAATACAGAGTAAGGTAGAAAAATGATCTTTTCTCCTCCCATAGTTCTACCAGATATATACTGCTGCACTTTTAGAACGCAAAAAGCAAAAAAAAAAAAAAAAGAGTATTTGAATTGTCATCATTCTACGAAAATGTTCCAACCATAGATAAAAATTTCACCAAAAGTTCATTCTACCATCATAGAAAGCTATTAGTTGTTTAATTGGTTCCATTCATTTAATCAACTAGGCAAAATTCTATTGATCTTACAGTAATGTGGTTTATAAAAACACAAGTGAACATTTATAACATTGGGGAGGTAGAAACCAAATCTTGGTCTAACACTGTTATAGATACAAACATATTTTAAGATTCTACTTATGTAACTAGAATTTACCATTTAAAATGGCCTTTAAGAGTTTCTACGCATTTTATTAGCTTTAAACATCTTGAGATAATCCAAGTATTTTAAAGCACTTGATGAGAATATAAGTCATTTTGAAATAATACATCAGACTCCCCAGAAGATTTCTCAGAGGATAAATCTGTAGTTGCATATTTTGAATATGCAGATCCATTAAGCCAACTTTGTACATGGGCACTTATATGACCAAAGTGCAAAGCCCATCAGACTAATTTTCTAAGTAAAGTTAACCATGACTGTTCAACTCCACACAGCAGTCTTCAAGCCTTGAAGCTTACTTATCTATCCCAAAGATCTATCTTCCTCCCATACAATAATTGCCTGCCTCTTACTCCCAGACAAAATAAAAAATACACTTAAACAAAAACAAGAGAAATAAAAACAAACAGAAGCCTTCCTACCATGAGTATTTCTGCTTAATTCACATTTTGTTATTTGTCAGATTTTAAGTGTACAAGATCAATGTCCTAAAAGTTCTTTATTTAATTCTTCTAACTGCCTCAACATATTACTCTGAACTTTTATGTATCAAGTAATCATTTGCTATCACTCTAAAGACATGGAACCAAACTAAAACATGAAACCAAAATGTAAGGAATGAATCTGGATAGGTAAAAAAGAATTCATCTAAATGTTATTTTCTTATTTCCAAGTATGATAAACTTTGTAAATTTGTTTCAAAATTTAGCAATACTAGCTACTATTTAATAAATAAAAACAGAGCATCTCAATAAGTAAAGCAAGATTTTTGGTTAGAAACAATTTGATAGAGTAAAATTTTTTAAACTGAAACTAGTAACTTAAATGGCCATGTTTAGCATTTGAAAACATTACCTAATAAATATTTTGGTAACATCAAATCATTATACTTATTCCAAGATTATATGGTAAATATTTATATTTATATTGAAAGAGAGGGGAAATTAATTCTAAGTTATATTCCCCCCAAAAAGAAATGCTCCCTAATATTCAATTCAAAAAGATGTACCACCAATAGAGACAGTATATTTCACTCTCCTAAACAGATATTTTCATATGAACATCCCAAGTTATCATACAGTCAACAACTGGCATTTCAGAAGAAAATGATTCATTTTACTTACAGTGCATCAAGATAAAAAGGTTACACTGAATGACAATAATGTGTACTAAAATTAATACTATTAAAGTAAAACTTTAAAAGAATTTCTCTGGAACATTTTCATTGCTAATACTCAAAACAGATGAAACAGATGAAAACAGTCACAAAATCATGTTAAATGTATAATAAATAATTCACATATAACATAGATTAAAGTATCAAAGAAAGGCTTAAACAGACATCTTTACACCTTTTGCAGATTTAACAAATTTCTACTCTACCACATACTGATAGCAGTAGGTATATTTCTTGACATTATTTGGTCTATTTAAAAAATTGACTGGTTGTTAAGAGGCATAATTTGTAAAGCAAAATAACCAAATAAAATAACAGAATTTTAACAAATATTGGCTTTTTGGAATTTCTTAAGAAAAGATTCACAAGCATTGCTCAGCTACTTGAGAAAAATTAAATCTCTTCTTTACTCAGGCACTTTTAATGCAGTAACCTCAGGCTTCATTTTAAAGTACTGGTTAAAACGAACAACTGCATATCTAGTGAGAAAAGAGAATAACCAGGAAATTAGTCAAAGCTGAAAAACTTAATCCATCCTTTACTTCCACTCACCCTTCTAAGCTGGTTTTTTTAAAAGTTTAAGATTTTCTAAGGACGTATTTTTAGTTTATTGCACCACCTACTGGACACTTTTCTAATACTGAGAGCACTTAGCTTGCAGCAGATTTCTTCACAGACCAATTATTAAATATATGCAGGCTTTACAATATTTGACTGAAAATAACTGCAGTGTTCTCTATGAGTTCTAGTTGTTAATACAAACAAAAGTAGAGACAAATGCAATGCATACAGTAAAACTAAACTTACCCAAGGAAGTCAAACTCAATAGTAGAGTATTTGGCTTGAATCAAAGACCACAATCCCCAAAAGAAATGCGAAGCCTTTAAGGAGGAAAGAAAAATCAAAAATTTTGGTAATGAATTTCTTTGTTAAACAAATATCAAATTATCAATTCTATCCTCTTCATCAACTCCATTCCTGATACTTTTTTTTTCTAGTAAGCCAGACATCAAAGAAATTTGCAAAAGTGCAAAATAATACCATTCTTCTCATTAAGTCATTTTTTACTCTGGAAAATTGTCTTTACACTTAAAAAAGTGGTTATTTAACATGTAATGACTTTATTTTTAGTATACATTGAATAAATATTTTAAATTTTATTTTCATTTCTAATATAGTGAATGTTGATAAAAATGTTTATAACTCATGTAAATGAAAGGTCACAGAAGTCTTCAAAAAATATTCTAAAGTGTAAAGGGGTTCTGAGGTCAAAAAGTTTGAGAACCAGCTGGCCTTAGAGTGTGGTGATGATAACACCAAGGTCCAGGGTTCAATTTCTGTAAAACACATACACACACGCATGCACGCGTGCACGTGCACACGCGCGCACACACACACACACACACACAAGAGTACCTCTTGTCTAAATCACCTTGGCATATTTTAAGTGATATAAAATTATCTGTAGATGGTACCCTAATCTCTTTACCCTACTAAAAGTTTGTTCTGTAGTGGAGACGACTGAGAAATCAGGAGTCATTCTGAATTTAAAAATAACATCGACCTAGCTCTTCTCACCATTTCAAGCACAGCTGGTAACTATATTTCTCAATCAATTTTTATTCAGATAGCAATATACATTAACTAAATGATTCCACACTAGAGAAGGATTATACATAAAACCTCACAAAAAATCTCATTTTTGTTAGGCAGCTCTTTTTATAAAGTGAAAGATGAAAAATTTATTCATAACATTAGGTTCTAAGTATATAAAAAGGCAGGAAAGAGCCGATTTATCACGTGCATTCTTTTAAAAAAAAAAGTCCAAATAAAATAACATTCTGTGATTTACTTATACTATTTCTCTCATGTTCAGAAGTTATGGATATGTAAGTCTGTTTAAATGGCCATGTTTAGCATTTGAAAACATTACCTAATAAATATTTTGGTAACATCAAATCATTATACTTATTCCAAGATTATATGGTAAATATTTATATTTATATTGAAAGAGAGGGGAAATTAATTCTAAGTTATATTCCCCCCAAAAAGAAATGCTCCCTAATATTCAATTCAAAAAGATGTACCACCAATAGAGACAGTATATTTCACTCTCCTAAACAGATATTTTCATATGAACATCCCAAGTTATCATACAGTCAACAACTGGCATTTCAGAAGAAAATGATTCATTTTACTTACAGTGCATCAAGATAGTTGCTGGTCCCGGTCCGGTACGGGCGTGACACTGAGGGTTGCGGTCCGTTGCCGGACACACACAAAAAAAGACGAAAAGGAAAAAAAATAAATAAAGAAATAAAAATAAAAGGGCATTTTAATTTCAGGCTATTCACCCCTGTTGCAAAGAAAAATGCAAGCTTTATATATACTAAACTAAAATAAACCCCGTTTTCTCAAAAACCCCAATGTAACTCTTAATGTTTTACCTAGAAAGAATCCCAAGTCTTCGTACAATGTGTCTGAAAACTCCTCAAAGCTTAAAAAACCCTCTATGTACACTCTATTTGGTTTTATAGTGTTTGCGCTATTAATTAACTACGATAAACAATAACAAGTGAGGTCTTGTAATTTTTAGAAGTCTGAGCAATAAACACTTATTAACCATTTATTTAAAAACTTGTATACTCTGATTTTATTCAGACCTGTTTTTCCCATTTATCAAAGCAGCTTTACAATGTATATATGCCATCCTCTTTATAACAAGTGATCAAGAAAGTAGTCATCCACAGAGGACATAGTATTTAAGACATGTCTATAAGGAACAAGAGGAATTTGCCAGGGGATATAGGGAAAAGGGCATTCCAGTGAGAAGGAATAACCTATACAAAAGAATGCCAAGCATGAAACATCATGGTGTATGTAGAAACAAAATGACTCTGGTAGAACAGGAGAAGAAGGTGGAAAACAGCAGGATATAAAGACGGAATTTATAGATGCTAATATTTGGGTTTTATTCTGTAGGTCATAAGAAGTCATAAAATAGGCAAGTGTTGTACACAATTAAGTTCATGAATCAGATTAGATTCTAATCACTGAACAAGATCACTTTTTTAATGTACGGGATGAATTAAAGACAAAAAACTGAAGGCAAAGAGACAAGCAAAGACTAATCTAGATTAGGCCTTAATTGGGGTGATGGCATTAAGAAGGGGTTGAATTGAAAAAATTTTAGGAACCAAGAACAACAGAACTTGGAAACAAAAAAATCTAAGGATAAGGAAGAAGAACACATGAGAAAATTTTCTGGTTTTAGAATATATCAACTAAATGGATGGTGTTTTAATTAAATCAAAATAGTAAAATCAAGAGTAAATACTGAGGTAGAAGGCAGAGTGCACAAAGTAAAATAGAGGTTTAGACATGTGGTCAGATACTAATGGGACCCTGGAGAGAAACAGTCTGGAGCTCAAAAGTGGGAAGAAACTCAAATTGGGATGATTAACAGAAATAAAAGCCTTACGACTAAATCACCCAATGAAAGTAATATCAAGTGAAAGGAGGGGGCAGTCCCAAAATCAGAACACTAGAGAATACTAACATGTAAGAAGGTTGGGGGAAGAGGAGGAAAAAAGGAGCCAGGGGAGGAGACTAAGCAGGAAAGTACAGAAAGAGAAGAACCAAGGAAGAATGCATCATGCAGCTTTCAAATGATTCCAAACACTTACATAGTTTGCCACGTGAATGATACATGTTTCGCTGTAGTAAAAACTTGGGAGTGTATTGCCCCCTCCGTTCCAGAATATGACATCTTATCAGACCCATACGTGAGATATGCGGCTACTCTCCTCCTCTTGAGAACAGAAGTCTCATCAGAGCCCATATGTAAGAACTTGCAGCAAACTCCCCCTCCCTCTTGGGAATGCTACATCACACCTTATCAGACCCACATGTGAGTTACTAACCTCAACCATTGAACTTCAAAATACATATAAAACTAGGAGTTTGACATTACACGAGCTTAGGTTGTGACAGGCTGCACTCTGTCAACCATTTCTCCAAACTCGAAGAGCTCAGGCCTTGACAGGCCTTTGAGCTCTGAAACCTTATCCACCAGCACCACCCTCTAGCATCGAGGTACTTTAGATGTCATCATGAATCTCTACTGTGTTGGTCAAGCCAGTTTCTCCCAAGAAACCGCTCGTAAAAAGGTATACCTTATTCTTCAATTAGACTTTACTTTCCACAGTAAAGTAAGAAGTTTAAAAAGTAAAAAAAGTAAAGTTCCATCCTAATCAAACTAGACTTTAATAGTTTTAAAGTAGTGTTCACTCACTGAACTTCATAGAGTTCACTCACTATGTGGTTAATGTACCTCGTCTATCACGTGTATTCACTGTGAGATTTGCTCACATTATTCTCCCCCTCTCTAAGCACTGTGAACCTAAGAGCCAAAAAAAAAAATTCTCTTTGTATGGCAATAAACTGTGTGATTCATATAATCATACTTTTATCATCTACTTATTTTCACCACACAGAACAAAAATGAATCATAAAAGTCAATGAAAAAGAAAATTTTAAGAATCAGTGGTAAATACTGTCAAATGCTATGGACAAATCAAGCAAGATAAGGACCAAAAAGTTTAAATTAGACTTAGCAATTACATCATTATCGGTAACCCTTACCTGAATTATTTTTTTTTAAGTAGTGTGGAAAAAGGCAGATTGCAGTGGTCTGCGGAGTGCATGAAAGATGATAAAGGAGAAAGATTGAAGGTTTGCTTTTATTTCACCCTACATTCCTAATTATTTCTTCAAACACTTGAGATTGACAAACATTATTGATCAGTGGGATGAAATTAAAAGTTGGTGAAAGATAAACTGGCTAGCTAAAAAGAAGCTATAAAAACAGTCTTGAAAAAGAAAAGAATATCAAAAGGAGAGGTGGTAATCTCAGTAAAGGGTACTGACAAAGCCATGTGTGAGTGTTCTGCTAAGTTCTGCTGTCTTCTTTCTTTTCTGAAGATAGAAAGAGCCACTGATGCAATAAAGTAACATATCCCAGAAGAAAAAGGGCAAGAAAAGCACACAGACAATCAGAAGAATCTTGATAAAATAAGAAGAGGAATTCAGACAAAAGCTGCCTTAAGAAATAAAGGGTTTTCAATGGTTTCTTAATGAAGAAAAATTAGAAACTGGTATCAGAACCTCAGAGCATAATAAACTTACCATACATGCTCATGCAAGAGCTAAGTATATGTAAATTCAGAGAACATGCTAAATGAGGAATACTATTTAAAAGGTATTGAAATTTTATGTCTCTATCAACCGTCCCTAATCCTTTTTCTATCAGACCTTCTACTGAATGTATGACACTGAATATATTTGCTACACGTTTTATGGAGATATTCTTTCTTTTTTTAAATCAGGTTAAATAAGTTTCCTTACAATTCTAATTTACAAAGAATTTTAAATAGGAATGGGTGTTAAATTTTAACACACACAAAAAAATTATTTTGTGCATCTTATTTGCACTTCTAAATTATAATCATTTTGAAGGAAAGCACCATGTTTTTAGTTCTTTTTTAAACTTCCAATCTACCTGACCTAGAGTAGCAGTAAGTACTTAATATCCAATTAACGAATATTTATAAACAACTTGATGATCAAACCAGAAGTAACTGTATCCTTCAATACCATGTAAAGATACAAATACAATATGCCAAAAAAGGGGTTAAACATCATCAAAAGTTTGCAAGGGAACCCAAAGTAGCAAAAAATGTGACTGCTGATTAAGAATTTATGAGCTACATGTACTTTAGGTAGAAATTAATAAATTCAATGCTGACGAATATGAGAAATTAAATGGGTACATGGAAAAAATACAAATTACAGCAACAATAATATTCGTTAATACAGACATTGGCAAAAATAGGAGTATTAAGTTGATTCTGAAATCCATTCATCCTAATGAGAAAGAAAGCCCTACTTCCCTACTTTAAGATCATGCTTAAATAGAACAAATAGAAACAGCAGGTATCCTAGGACCAGCTGGAGAGCGTGCCATTAACTGAACCAACAGTTCTACTGAAAATAGATATCAGAACAGCAGGTAAAGTCACATTTCAGCGCAGCCTCTTACTTGAGAAGTATTCTAAGTGACTCTGGGAAAATGATGCTCTTAAAACTATGGAAATAGTACACTTGCTAGGGTCTACTTGTGAAGACAATATAGCAAATATTCCCCATGTCAATTGTACAAAATTATATTAAAACTAACAAGTAGCTAAAATAACTTTGACCTAGTATTCAATTTAACTGTCTAACACCTTAATTGTAAACTCATTCTAATACATCACATTATTCTCAAAAGATAATTTAAATAAACTAATTTTTTTAAACAAATGCATGTAATGAGACGTGGGTCTTAATAAAACATTAAAATATTAAAGAAGCTGGGAATAACTGCCTATCAAATGAGGGTCAAGAAGACAAAACACTGAACAAGTCATGCAAATTTAATTCTACTAGTTGTTCCAAACTACCTTTATCATAACATTAAGATGTGATAATTAAAAGTGTTGTGGAAAACCTCATTTTCCATAAACCTGTCTTTAATTATATGTTTTTCATAATGTAAAGAAAGAGATATAAGAAACTGCTTCACACATTAATCCTAACCCGAACTAGAATTCATTCATTAAATAAATAATCACTAAGCATCTACAATATGGCCAGGCACTGTTCTAGGAGGTGGGGATACAGTAGTGCATGAAACAAAATTTTTGTCCCCAAAAACAATGCAACAGGGTAAACTATAAACAGTGTTAACTATGAACAACCATGTTTTTTCATTATTTTGAAAAAAAATTCACAAAACTTAAAACTGAGAAAGTGTTTTACAAGATGATGAAAATTTAGAAGATCTTAAAATTATATTGAGAATCTTTCATTGTTTACATTTAAACTTACCAATGCAAACTGATTGACTTGAATGAAGAGTATTTCTACCTCCTTTTCAGTAACTTCAGTACCAAAGCCCTTATATTCTTTGTAGGCTTCAAGGTAAGAACGCAGCCACTGGCCTTGTAGTTCTCTATCTGGATAGAGACTATAGTCTACATCACTCATACCTTTAGAAAAACAAAATGCATTCAAGATTTTAAGAATTCATACTCTTCTGCATACTTTAATAATCCTTACCACCAACATATTTTGTCATATCACCATAATCAGTTCTCATTGCTTCAATTTTCTCCTCAAAGTATACAGCTTGAATCACCTGTATTAGAAGCTCAAAATCTGCATTTTAAGGAAATTCTTAAGCACATTAACATTTGGAGCACTACCTCAAACTGTGGCTCTAAAACTTTTCTGATCATGACTCGTGGTAAAAAAACACACATTTTTATTGAGACCTTATACATACACCTAACTGATAATTAAGTTTCACAAGATAATATCTACCCCAACTACATATTCCAACTCTCATACTTTCTATTTCTACTCTTTTCCATTCCCTGTAAACAAAAGTGATAATCCCACCAATCTGATTTCATGATATAGTTTAAAAATACTAACCTAGAAGATAATGTTCATACTATTTTGCCTAGCACTGAAGGTTCTTCGTAAGTTGTTCTAAACCCACCTCTCTAGTCTTATAATCTTCTATTCTCCTTCATGAATTTTATATCCTACAAAAATAAGCAATTCATCTTGAAGTTTTCTTCCCCTTTCCCGAAGTGCCTTCCCTTCTCTTCTATTTGCACATGCAAACTTTATCTTTCAAGCTTCAGCTCAATTTTTTTCTCCACAAAACCGTTCTAAGATCACTAGAGTTTCCTCTTTCACATCCACAGCAGTAACATCTGTATTACTAACACGGTGATATCTCATTATATGCAAAGTTGGTTTCCTCTTCTATAGGTGATGTATGTGAAAATAAGTACAGCACATACATGTGGCTATAGCATGTATATGATAAGCTTGGTGGAGGGAAATAATTTCCCAATCTGGTAATCTGAAGTATATAAAAATACATGAATACATGGGTATACACAAATATAAATTCAGCAATGAAAAATTCCTACTAGGTGTAAACCATCCAAAGGAATTTCCTAATTTTCAGTTTTAGAGAATTTCATGTTTCTAAATATAGAGTCATTAAATGAATTTTAAATTAATGCTACTTACATTTAAAAAAAACTAAAACTTTTATACTTAATGGTTGTTATAGATTAATATTCAGGGGTTAAAAAAACTTTTCAATATTCATGGCCAAAAAAAAATTCTTTTTTTTTTTTTAGCTTTTTAGTTAACCAACATTCCAAAAGCCCAAGTTTACGATGAAAAAAGCAAAGCCTCCTAAATGATAAAAAAAATTAGGTTCCCATCTTAGTCCTCTCTATTTTACTGTGACCTTGGTGAGTTACTTTCCTCATCTGTAAACTGGGTAATATTACCTTATAGGATCACTGTCGAGAAAATAATGAGATGAGATTTACAAAGCACCTAGCACTGTATCATGTCTTAACAGAAGTAACAATCATTTTTCTCCTATCCATTATTTTCTGATGGCAATTAAGATATTTTGGTCATCTCCTCTTTCCTCCAGTAAGAAACAAAAACAAAGCAAAAAGGTGAACAAGAAGTGAAAAGATATCGTTCCTGCTGCCAGTTGATTTTCTTTAAAGAAAGAAAAAAAAAAATTCTAAAATTATCATTTCAAAGTTAAATAAGTTACTCCATTAGACAAACCCTGAATTTTACCTGCAAATTCATTGAAATGATTTCCAATATCATATGCCAGGTAGTTGTATCCAGAATATTCATAATCAATGAACTGTACATCACCTATGTGAGACACAAAAACAAAGACATTAAGACACCACATATGAGATCAGAAAACCCCTATGCTATTTGTAATGAAATAGCTTCCAACTGTTTGTCTCATTGTACGTGCTTGGTTACATGCACTTCTGAGACATTACAGGGTAAGGCTGTGAATTTTATGGCAATGAGCTTTACAAAATTCAGATTATGTCTCTTGGTCAACAGCTTCTTTGTAAACACTAATGCCCACTGTATTAAAGAAAAATGAAAATACACTCACAGTCATTCTCTAAGTTCAAACAAAAGTGAAATGTCTTTCACCACATGGGGGCATCAGTTACTTTAAAATTCAAGTTTAATTAGAAATAAAAGCTATCTTTGGAAATTGTTGATAATCTATGCAATTTTATAAAAACTTAATCTATGATATTTCAACAGTAAATTGAAAAGTGTATCTACATATGGAAATCCAATATAAACTTTGAAAAATTTGAATTTTGTAAATCTTGCAGTAATGCTGTAATACTTGCTGATCAACTTAATATCACTAATTTAAGAAGTTAGTTGCTTACATTTTTCTTACATTTTTATAGAATTCCACATAACTAAGGTTTACACATCTGATCAGCATTAAGGTAGTGGTTTCATTTTTTAAAAAGAGAAAAAGAATAGTTTCTTTTTAATGTGTATAAGTTTGAGAAATGTTTACATTAGCTAAATAGATTCCTCTTTTATTACTACATATATGTATTATATATTAATTGTATATTATAATGAATTATAATGTATATGTGTATATAGGTATTTCATTATAATTCTGCAAAGATAATCCTGTCCAAGGGGCATATTCCTACCTACTTTTAATTTTTGAGCACTGACTATTATAAAGGGTTTGGCTCAGCAAAGATATATATAGGTCCTATTTAGACAAGAGAAAAAATAAGGGGGGAAAGAAAAAAAAGAAGAGAGACATATTAAAAAAAGTCAGCGTGGGTCACTAAATACCGAGGATCACAAACTCAAAGGCTTACAGGGGCATGGAGTTAAAATGGTATATACATGAACAGAGGTGGCTGTAAGAATAGTTTCTAACTGCTTATATTATGAAAATGTATAACATCTGCCTAGTTACACTCAAACATCAAGCTCCTTGTCTACACATACTGGCATTTCCCAAATAAAACAGCTTTTGCACTAAAATGTCTTGATATAGATTTGTAAATTTAATCTGAGGAAGTATGTTGATCATATTCAAACAGAAAAACAAAATTCTGTGACAAAAAAAAAATCATGGCAAATGCAGTGTTTTACATAAAAGCAAAAAAATTTTACATAGAATGGTATTTAATATGTAATTCTAATCTTGTATAAATAATAGTCAAGTCTAGAGTAAAATAAGTGAGAATGATCCAAGTATCATATACCAGTTATCAAAATCCAATGCATATTATATTAAATGTAAGATTTTTAAATGTTGGTGACAATAAATCACTGCAACCACAATATATTCTTGAATTCACAGAAAACTATTCCACAAAAAATATTACAGTACACAAAATCACTTTATTAAACTGCAGAACGGGAAGTTGGAACATGTATTAAAATATCTTTTCTAGGAATCACTGGAAGTGAGAGGGTGAAGAGCACCATCATGGTAAAATATGCCCAGCCATGAAAATAAAATAAAAAATTAAATAAAGCCATGAAAAAATCTCACTTCAAAAATAATGACCAGGGGAATTACAAATGTCATATGAAAAATAGACATCCAAATTATTAAAACTATTATGTCTAAAGGGGGGGAAGCATATAATGCATACAGAAAAAAAGATAAATAGAAATAAGCCAAAACAAAATGTTTAAACATGTTGTTACAGATGATAGACAAGCAACTTTTTCCCTCTCTCTCTTTTTTTTTTTTCCTTTTTGTCTTTTTTACTGACCGGTAACGGGATCGCAACCCTCAGTGTTGCGCCCGCACCGCGCTCAGCCAGTGAGCGGGAACCGGTCTCCACATGGGATCCGAACCCTCAATGGGAGCGCCGCCGCGCTCCCAAGCGGTGCACTCTCCAGTGCACCACCGGGCCGGCCCTTCCCTCTCATTTCTAATTTTAAAATTCTTTGCAATAAATTTTAATTTGGGGAGGAAAAATGTTATTTAAAAAAGAATAAGGTGAATTCTCTATACAAACTGTCTATAAAGTAAGAGACTAAACTTAATAATTTGGGAGATAATTTATCCACCAGCCATCAAAAAATCAGGATACAAGAGGTGCCAGTGCACAACTGTGGCAACTGAACAGTTTGAACATATAACTTTTTAAATTGCAGCTGTTGATTGCTTAAGCTCTTTAAATACAAATTCTTGTAAAGCTCATATTAACCGTGACATGCCAATAAAAATACACAGCCCAGTCCTGAAGCTTACTTTTGCCACATAAATAAAAGCTTCAATTTCAATTTTCAACATTATATTTAGAATTTGGCAAATAGTTAAAATGGCAGGTAAAATACACCTGCTTGTAAAGTAAATACAATTTAATTTAAACACAGACCATTTTAACAAAAGTTAAAATCTGTTTCAGTACAAAAATTTTAGCAATGACTTTTTGTAGTAGCATTAATTCATTAAAACTAGCCTTTATTTTTAAATGCTATGTTGAGTTTATAAATAATGAAATTTAAAAAATAAGAAAATGAAGCTAACAAGATACAGATGAGGCTGTTACCAGGCTCCGTGCATGTGAACAAGTGATGCGATAAACCTCCAGTCAGTGCGTTTAAGAAGCACGGGGTGCGCCGCCACATGGCAGCAACAATGGCATACCTAATCTGTAGCAGATGAAGAAAATTTGGCAAACTCACATTTTACAAGACACAAAGCTTAAAAGGAAAAAAAATTTTTTAAAATCTGCATTAACTAGTCTTTTTCAAACTACTGCAAATAAAGTGGAACTCAACCTTAAATTTAACCTTCTGCAACAAAGTAAACTTAAAGAGGCCTACTTCCATTATTTTTAGGGTGCCAGAAAAATCAAATTACTGGAAAATGCTTTCCTATCAACAGAAAATATATTTTTTTCTACCATAAATTTAACTTCTGATTTCTAAAATTTCCCATTATTTAGAGGTATGTCCACATCACTATTAATAATTAGCATATAGCATGCCCATCTTGTAAATTCTTTAAGACATGAATTTTTAATTAGGGTTTCAAGGGTAGAGAGACAATGAGAATGCTCCCTAAAATTTTACGCAAAACTTTATGTGTATGTGCATTTTCCAAGGAGGAGATTCTCTATTTTCCAGATTCTCAAGGGATCCATTATCTCTAAAAAGTAAAGAACCACTATGCTAAGGGCTGGGACAGCTATTTTATTTGTCTTTATATAATTAGCACAATAATAAGCATATAATAATAAGCACATAAAGCACATGATTAATGGATAAAACTTAAATTTTGAAAAGCTACATTTTATTTATTACTATCTTCACCACAGTAATAAAATCCACATACTACTGAGTTAAACTGTTCAAATCTCAGTATACTGAAAATAGTCTACCAATTTTCAAAGCATTTTAAAACCAAAAAAGTAATAATTTATTACCTGAGGTTATCTAATCATATACAATACATTTGTTTGGTTTCCTTTTATTTTTAAGGAATTTAAAATTATATTTAAGTTGTTAAGGAGACAGGGATAAAAATGAAAAGCAAAAGATTCATTATGAGAATCTGAAAATCTTTTCAACTCACTAGTTTTGCTGGAAAGAGAACAATGAGAAAAGTAACCACAATCATATCAATGTTAACAATGTTTTTTGACACAAAAAGGGACTATTCTGGTCTGGGAAACTTCCCCTTCATACCTCACTCTGGTGTCCAGTCATACTCTGTGTACACCTTCACCATAGCACTCATCATTCTAAATGTAAGTATCTGTTTAGTGATCTGACTCCTCCACTACATGATACATGGCCTCCTGGAGGGGCAGTAGGGCTCCTTTTATCTTTCATTATGCAATCCACAGAGCACTCCACAGCACATAGGAAGTACTGAAATGCTAGTGACATAAATGGAAGTTTTGCAGAGAATGCTGAGACAAAATAACAACACATGTTGGGGGGGAGGGAATTAAACATGAAATACTAAAGGAAAAAAGTGTAGAATTTCTGACATTCTATTAAAGTATATGACCGAATACACAGTGGGCCTGAATGCATGAGTAAAATCAATTAAAGTTTAAAAAACACTTAAATAGTAACTATATCTTAGGTCACTGTTCGTTTTTTATAGTCTATTTAAGTTTTTTATTATCTGACACATACTTTATTTTCTTTTTTTGCAGTTGGCTGGTATGGGGATCTGAACCCTTGACCTTCATGTTATAATACCACATGCTAACCAACTCAGCTTGCCGGCCAGCCATTGGGATATTTTATTTTCTGCTAACTAGTGGTTTAGAATACAGATTAAAACAGGGTTAAGATTATCCTTCATAAGAAACACTCCATCCTGGAAAACATAGGTTATGAAATACAAAAATAAATTTATATTTATTTGAATTTTAAAATAAAACCAAGTTAAAAAAAACTCTTCTAAGTCATTAAAGCATCAATAAAACCACAACTACAATAATGCCTTCTCATGAATAATGATAGGGTGGATAAGATTTAGAGCCAAACAAGTGATTAAGAATGGTGACTAATCCATTTTCTATTCATATTGTGTAAAATTCTAAAGAAAACCCTGGTTTACTTATATTTCCCAGAAAGCTTTCCTTTCTTTTCTTCTACTCATTTGTATTTCCTTAAAGAGCTGTAAATCCGCTTCTTGCATTTTGCTGACAAATGAAAACAGTGATTGCCATTACTGAAATTTAAAGTTATATATTAAATCTTTGTAAGAGCTTTTATGAAGAAATGGAGGATAGGGAGAGAAACGAAACCACCACCAAAAATCATTAGACCAACAACATTCTGACAGAGCATCAAGACATGAGACAGCAATCTCAAAAGCTGTAGCAATTATCTCTGACATGTCAGCAGTTAAAAGAATTAGTTAAAATTAAAATATTAGATTTGAAGTCCATTAGTGAATAAGCAATGTTACAATTTGTTCTACTTAAACTCTATTAAATTAATGATTTATTTAAAAGATGACTGGTAATTCTTACAGTTCTGGAGCAAGAACTGCTGCTTTTGGGTTTTTTATTATGTATCAAATTCTATCATTAAGTATTCTTTTCTTACCTTTTTAGGATGTCATTTCACTGAAGGCAAGGAATGGGCTGCTGTTTATCAACCACCTAATTCCTGGCACTAATTTTTCAAAAATCTTGACAGCTACCATCAACTTCAGAAAGGAAGCTCACTCTCCTCCCCCAAATTCCTGAGTTCTGTCAGCTGACATTGTGAAAGCAAGTAGAGGCAGTACTTTTTCCTGTAATGCCTACCAGTTCCTGTAACAGTCACAGATGAAAATGCCTACAAACTGCAGGGTGCCCATAGTCTTTGTGTGCACGTGTGTATGAATATGTATGTATGAGGGTACTTCAAAGTTCGTGGAAAAACATAACTAGAAGATAATACAAATCTTTCCATGAACTCTTAAGCACCCTCATGTGTACATATATCCATACATATACACATTTTCTAAAATTTTAAATCAATCGCTTGAGTTATAGTTAAGGTAGAAACTATAGGTTGTACTTAAAGACGAAACAAATTGTCATCTCATGCCTGTGAGCCATAATTCTACTAGTTATAGGATATAATTAACCTTCTGGTCTACAGTAACCATTTATTATTTTTTTTCAGAATCGGATACATTTTTAAAATGCATGCTATATACATAATACAGGAGTTGGCAAACTACGTGTGTTCAAGCTAAATCCAGCCCACCACTTGTTTTTAAAAATTAAGTTTTACTGGAACATATCCACACTTGTTTAATTAAGTACTGTCTATGGCTGTGTTCATGTTACAACACAGAGTTGAATAGCTGCAATGAAGACTGCAATATGGCCCAACAAGCCTAAAAATGCACTATCGAGCCCATTAAAGAAAAAGTGTGCCAACCCCTATCTTAGTAATAGCTACAACTGAGAGCTGCTATAAAGAGACAAAATGACTTGTCTAATACTACTTTACTTCTGTCAGCAACTGAACAGGGATTTGAACCCAAGTATGCTTGGTTCCAAAATCTATACTCTTTCTGACTTCTACTGGTTGTAACTAAACTTTAATACGTCTGCTTCTAAGAGTTACTTAGAGATTTTCTAGTTAGAATATTAAAAATTTAAGTCATGGCCTAAAAATATATGCAGAGACTTCAAGATGCAGAGACTCAAATATGTCATATCATTATATTATCTCAAAAAACCATTAGTTCCAAATTTGAAACATAAGAATAAAATAAGCTTCTTGCCACATTTTCATGAGTTTTAAGATTTTACTGGAACATTCTAATCATATTTTCTTAAAGCTATGTATTAACTAATCACATTAAGAATTGTTTTTTTTTTTTTTTTTTTTTTTGTAAACAGATGCCACGGGGTCCAAATGAGCCTTCCTAATGGATACTATGAAACCATTGGTAAGGGGAAAAAAAACCCAGACATTTCCATAACTAACACATAAACACAACCACAAAGACAAGATGAAACAAATGGTACAAAATAGAATTCTATGAAAAAGGGCAAATTCTAAAAGTATACCAAAATATTTACATTTGTGGGGCAGTGAAATTTATTCTTCTGTGTAGGAAAGAAAAATTAGATGCAAAAGTATGAGTCAGGTAACTCTTGGCAGAAAAATGACAACCTTGAACTCTTAAAGCCAAATTGAATCATAAAGATTTTATTTGACAATACGGGAAGTTTTCATATGACTAATCAATAGTTTAGAGATAGGCAACTTTTTAAATGAAAAAATAAAAATGCATTTTTTAATACCTAAGACAAAGTAATCTGATTTTTTTGGTCCCTAATTTTTCAGTTTTATAAATAAGTTTATTCTATAAAATGAATATGTAAAAGAAACTTATAAAAATAAAAATATGAAAGGTTAAAATTATATTCCAAAGGAAATAACAGATTCTCTTTGATTAACTTGCAGTTAAAAATAAAGCTGAGTGTCCACTTCAAATGTAAGATGAAGTCCCTCACTAGAAATTCCATTAGACAAAATTTGTTAGTAGGTCTTTCACTAAACTTAAAAGCTAATACACTGCATAATGCATAAGTAATGCTCCTGTTTCACAAATGGCATTGAGATTTGGTTACTAGTATATAATGTAGTGCATATATACTATAACAATTATATAGAATAAATGGACAATAATATATGAAAGGACACTGTCAAGTACATAATATTTTAGGGTATACCTGAGGTTTAAAAAAAATGATTCCACAAAAACTTCAAGACAATTCAAAATAAAGATGTTGGCTCATTATATTTTTGTGAAAAATAAGATCTCTAGTCCACATTAAAATATCAAATATAAAAGATATTCAAACATGTTTTTGAAACATTTACTTAAGTCTATCACTCTTGACAGTGTTCCCTTTGGTTGGTTTTCAAGTTAAAGTCAGCTATAAATATTAACCTTTGTATTAGAATGGTTGTGATTTACAATCTAATAAGGATCATAAATACTCATAGTAATTTAATATAATTATGACCGTGTTAATGAGAATTCTTTGGCTATAGTATATTCACAACAGCACACTTCTGATTCAAAATATGGTCTTTCAACTATAATGACTATCTTCATAAACTGGTTTCCTATAAAATGCAATAGCTTCATGGTTTCAAACACACTTTAAATTAATACTAATCCTTCAATCAAAATTATATTCTTAAATTTCAGGTTAGTATTAAAGGGCGTCTATCATTTAGCAACCAAACCTCAAACCACTTTACCCAGTGAAATAATACAAGAAAGTGTTTCTTAAATATGAAAACAGAATTAGGATACAGCAAGATACAAACACTCGCAAAAAACAAAAAGAATCACTATCTTCCTCAAAAACATTAAAACTATTTACCAAAGCTTCTTGATTACTTTAGTAGATATAAATTTGAGCAACTACAAGTAACATTTCCTCCATCTGTGGCTCATCAAAACGTCTAACAAATCAGCACAGTAAATGGTAATGGGAAACCTGGAGACATTTGTTTCTGATACTCTTGTCCTTCCCAACACTGTGAGAAAATTTCTGTATTTATAAAGCAGTACAATGTCAATTTGTTGATTTTCCATAACTCCCATTACAAGCAGGTACACTTTCAAATTATGAATAACCAAATAGGTTTTACAGTTAAATTTATAAACAAAATCATTTCATCATTTTACACTCAAATATCCAATAGTAACCACAAACTGTTTCTAACAAACCAATTCTAAAAAACATACTTTATACAAATATACAGAAAATATATATTCCTAATTTATCATTGTTACCATGTCTTTATAACCTAAAAGAAAATCTTCAAAGCTTCATGCATGTTTTTAATCCTTGCATTTGAATTAAATTTATTTTTACTGACAAAAAGATCAAAGGACCATTAAGAAAATAAAATAAATCAACTTTACTTATTGCTAAGATCAAATACCTACCTTGTTTCTCATTGTAGATTATATTCTTACACAATAAGTCGTTATGGCAAAGTACAACAGGTGAGCCCAGGTTGGAAAGAATCTCTTTCATCCAAGTCATCTCTTCCTGAAGAATCTGAGAGCTTGGGATATTGCTTAGGAACCTTTAGTTTTAAAAGAAGAGTTATATTTATCTTAGTGGCATTTTTTTCCAGTTTGATTAAGGATTAAAATGTATTTTGAGTAAATCCTTTCCATTTAATTGCACATACTCCTGAATTAAAACAACAGACCAATTATTCCAAAAGTTGGAATAAAGAAAACCTTCATAGTGAACTTAAACATGAATAAAAAGAAACTGAGCAAGTTAAAATATAGTGCAGAAAAGTTATAAAAAAAAAAAAAAGGCACTGCAAAACTGGGGTGGGGAGTAATATATTTAAACTAATAACTAACATTTACTAAATACTATTCTAAATGTTTTACATTTATCTCCATTTTACAAATGAAGAAACTAAGACACAAAGGGTTTAATAAAAATGGTTTATTATTTAAAGTTACAAAGACTATTAAAAAATTAAAATTTTCTATTTCAAACTTGGAAGGGTGAATGCAGTATAAATCAGCTAAATTCTCAGAATAGTCAATAGATTATTGTCTACAGTTGATAAATCAGGAAATAAAGGTATACTCATATTATCTTGTTATGTTAAAAACAGAACTATTGTAGAAAATGCCTCAGAGTAGTGAGACAGGGAATGGTGGGAGGAAGCTTCATGAGCGGAACTAAAAGTCACGGCTTTTTATCTTACACTATTCTATACTATTTATTGTTATATATCTACATTAATTCGATAAAAAATAAAGTTAAACAAAAAATGGGCTGCTACCACTAATCCCTCAATAGCACTATCAGGTGTGCAAAACTGCCGTTAATTTACTCTCTCACTCCTTCCCTTAATACTTTACGTCAGGTTATCTTGATTTTTTTCTCCACAGTGTCTCAAATTACCCCTTATTTTCCATTTTACAATATAATACAGATTCTTTTTACATTACTGTATTTGCCTATGTAGCTGGTTTCTGCCTATATTTTTCCAACTACTGCATTCTTCTCTACATTCAACTTCCAAAAGTAATCCTTATATGCTCTTTTCAAAATGTTATGATTGGAGGAGCTGACAGCAGCCACCCTCTCTGACCAGATGCAGGCAAGAAAGAGAGAATGCCCAGGGTTCTTGGGCAGAAGCCAAGGGCAGCTGACCCCTCCACCCAGAAGCAGGCAGGACAGCACATCAAAAATACCACTTTTAAGCAGATGGCCCACCAGAGCCATCACCACAGCCACAGCTACTGCAACAGCAGCTTGATGCTACAGCAGTAGCCACAGCTGCCGTGCAGGCCACCCACAAAACACTCAACTGCACTGACACAAGGAGAGTCACCAGCGGGAACTGGAAAAAAACGATGTCTCTATCCTCAAAGCCCACTCAGGTGGTGGAAGAAGCAACTGCTCTACCTGATGACCAGAGACCAACTAGAAGAGATACTAGAAGTATGAAAATCCAAGAAAATATGACACCACCAAAACAATACAGTAATTCTCAAATACAAGACCCTACAGAGCAAGAAACCCTTGAAATGACTAAAAAGGAATTCCGAGCAACAATCTTAAGGAAACTCACTGAGAAACGGGAAGACTCAGACAACATAATGAAATAAGAAAAAAAATCCAGGATATGAAGGAGGAAATTTACAAAGAGATTAATACCTTTAAAAAGAACATAGCATTTTAACATAGGTGTATACAAGTATAAGTTTTCATCTAAGCACTGCATGAGCCCTGCATCCTATAAATTTTGATATGTTGCACTATGATTTTTACCTCAAAGTATTCTCTAATTTCCCTGTGACATTTCGTTTTACCCATTGTTTATTTAGGAGAGTGTTGTTTTATTCCCACACATCTGTGAACTGTCTAAATTTCCTTTTGTTATTGTGGTCACAGAGCATATTTCCTTTGATCTTAGTATTTTTAAATGTATTAAGACTTGTTTTTTGGCCAAAAATAAAAAATAATTTTCTTTAAAAAAAATAATTAATTTTTTTTTTTTCTCTTTTTGTCTTTTTTCATGTCCGGCAACGGATCGCAACCCTCAGTGTCGCGCCCATACCGGACCGGGACCGGCAACGGGATCGCAACCCTCGGCGCCGCGCCTGCACCTCACTCAGCCAGTGAGCGGGAACCGGTCTGTATGTGGGATCCGAACCCTTGGCGGGAGCGCCGCCGCACTCCCAAGCGGTGCACTGTAGCAGTGTGCCACTGGGCCGGCCCAAAATAATTAATTTTTAAAAAATTATTTAATGGTATGATTGTTCAAGAATCTCTATTTAAAAGAAGGTACAATGTCAAATAGAAACAATAAGACTCAAAGGATTATGAACATAATCATTATAATCATGTTACAAACAAAAAGGAATGGAAGAAAACATGACAAATAAATATTTTCAATATCTTAAATGTTTTTTATCTTCTAGATGTACATTTTCTATCTGGGCAGAATGCTTTCTTTCTGTTATTTACCACAGCAGACCTCCAGCTTTTCCAAAGTATCACTAACCTTGAGGATTTAAAGTATATCTTGGAGAGTCTAGGAAATAAAACTCAAAACCTACCTAAATAACCTTCTTCGAATAACAATTTCAAAAATAGCAGCCAACATTTATGTAGCACTTATATGGTCAGGCACCACTTTAAACACTTTATGTATACCAATTCAATTAATGCTCACAAAAACCCTGTAAGACTAATATGCTACTCTTGCTATTTCAATTTAATAAATAAACACTAAGGTAACTTGCCCAAGTTTAACAGCAGAAATGCTCATTGGCAGAACTGATATTTGATCTCTGGCTCCAGAGTCTTGTGCTCTTAACCCATACAATACTACACTGCCTCTCAACTATACATTACCTTAAGAAGTCAAGAAAATCTTGCTTCACCGTCACCATCTACCTCATTATTTTTAAATGGTTTTCTCCAAAATCTCTCAATAAAAATAACTATTTCAAAAGAAAACTCTATTTTTATACTATAGCTTCCTGAATATCCAGCACACTGGACACACTTCCAGAAGTTTGCCAATTCTACTTTGAGGGGTATAATATCCCTATCAAATCTGAAGTTTGACAAACTACCTGCAAATACAAACACATACACAGAGTGAATCAAATTAATCTTTGAAATAATCAAACTCAATTGCCTCTTTTTCCCTAATGAATTATGAAAAATAGAAAGAAACAAGAAAAAAAATCTAAGTCTTCCTTCTGTTTTTTCTTGAAACAAAGATTTTCTGCATACAAAGATGGTACTTTCACATGTTTTAGATATAAAGGACAAAATAAAATTTCCAATTTTTGTATTAGTAATAATAACCACACTATATAAAGTAAAATATATTCATATAATTTAGATTCTAAACACTGATCTTCTTTTTATATAGAATATAATAAAATACCTTAGTTTGAACCTGGGGAGTCAGCCTTACAAAAGGTAAGTAAGACTCTAGTACTTGAATTTTCAACCTCATCGTCTGAGATTTTTTTTTTTCCTTTTTAACATGGACTTCTGTTCCAAAGCTTTATTCCAATCACATTTACAGTACATAAAATATTAACAGTTTCTTGTTGAGAAAACAGAAACTCTGGCCATTGTATTGATGCTGACTTAAGACAAATACAAGCCTCTACATAAGAAGAGAGTCCATATTTGAAGAATTCAACCAATCTGAGCTATCTACCTACGAAAACATCAATTCAACAGCCTACTTTAAAGGTATATAAGAAACCCAAAGAAGTCAGCTTTTGTGGAAACATTTTATTTAACAAACATAATGCACAACAATTAAAAGCACTGCATATTTCCAGGAGAATTAAAACTGTGCATACCTGAATTAGCACTGGAAAGTACACAGAAAATAAAAAGGAAAAAAAAGGAAAGCTTTACACTAAAATCATTTGAACCCAGGTTGTTCTTTGAGAAGATTCTCACTGGTATTTGATGGTAACTCATCACCTCCCTTGTGAGCCTGGTGACCAGCTAACTCGGTGTACTGCTTCATGTCTTCTGTGCTTTATGATATTAGATGTATCAAATTTGATAGATTTTATACATAAATGTAAATACAGGATAAAAAGCTTTATAACCACCCTAATTTTATTCCAAAATTACTACTCTACACTCATTATCTACGCTTTAAATAGTCACAGTAAACTAAGACAACCCAACTTTTTCACACTCCAATATTACCACAGTGTCCCAATATATATCTCTGGGCCTTTTCAAAATTGCTAGCAACAAAAATAATTTTTTTTTAAAAAGTCCCTATGGCCAACTTGTACCATGCAAAAAGGTGCCCATTCATAGTGATCTTTATATTACAATTACTTTCAAATAAATGTTCTATATTTATGGCTTGCTCCCCTACCTCCATCTCCCCTTGCTGCTGTAGGGGTTTTTTTTGGGTTTTTTTCTGGGGGTGGGGAGAGTTACAAGGCATATAGAGGCAGTTATTTCTGTAGTGCCATCTGAGATTCAAAGAATCGATGCTTGTTTTACTTCAAGCATAGAGATAAAACCAGATTTTATACACAGAAAAATCTTGTAGTTATCTTTGAAACCCTGTAATAGAGCAAAACAATGTAAAACATAATTCTAAAAGTAAAAATAATTGTACCTTTTATTAATGTCTTCATCTCCAAATCCTGCGGAAATGAGAGAGAAATACTTTCCCATCTTTAGCCATAGATTAGATTTGGGAATCCAGCCATTGTGTGCATGGATAGCATGAATTTTAGCAAGCTGACGAGCTATTAGCCTGTTTAAAACAAAATGGCATAAAAAGAAAAAGTTAAGCATCATAAAGCTCATGTCTACTAACAAAGATTCTTGGCTTGACCAACTTTTAGTCAGGCCCCTGAACCTTCCCCTAGGCTTATCTGTGCATTTCCTTGTAAAATCCATTTTTAGCAAAAACCCTGCTAAGTCACTTTAGCAAGAACACCCCACCCTTAATATCTGATCACCCTTGATATCTGATCATGTTCCTTATGCTTCACCATCCCACAAATGATCTCTGATCACCCTGACCTGTCTTCAGCAAGAATCCCGGTAGGTTGGTTTAGCCAGAATCCCCCTTACCCCTGATGTTACCTCTTAGTAATTTTCCTTCTACCAACACCCCCACCCTACTCGTTGGCTATAAATTCCCACTTGCTCATGCTATATATTTGTAGGTGAGCACAATCCCTTTTCTTGCACTGCAAAATCCCATTGCCATGGTCCCTACACTTATCATAATGGTCCTGAATAAAGTCAGCCTTACCATGCTTTAACAAGTATTATTGAATTATTTTTTCTTTAACAGTTATGATGTTGTGACTCAGAATCAGATTCACCATTGGACCCCTGAATCTCTCATCCAGGACCCTAAGTATACAACTTTGAAGCCTTTGTCCTCACTTCTTACTAGGGGAATCCATTGGTGAGTCAGACTCCCGAACCACTACTCAGGACAAAAGTCCATTGAACCAGGCAAGGACAGATTTTAATTCTTAAGATTCTGAGTATATCTCTATAACTGGGTTAGAGTCCCAGGATTCTCTTGAAAAGTACCTCTTGGGCTGGAAGTCTCTTCTTCCTTGCTCTCTTTTTTGAGTAGGGATTATTTCCTGTCTCCCTAGGCTAGAAGTCCTTCTTTCTGGCTCTCTGTGAAGCCTCTCTGTTCTATTAGATCCTGCTTCTTCTAAGGAAACTTCTCTGACATTTGAAACTCATCTTCGTGAACCCTTACTAAATATATGCTTCACCAACTCTGTTCATCTCCCTCCTGTTGGCATGATTTTGCTGAAGAACTTCAAAAAAATTTACAGAGGCCTAGATATTGCTCCCAGAAATTCTGATTTAACTGGTCTGGGGTCCAGCGAGGGCATCAAGATATTCAAAAGCTTCCCAGATGACTTTAAAATGTAAAACCACTTAAGAACCACTCAACTAAGGCACACAAGGAATCTAGTATTATTGTAAGTCTTCACCAGCCTGTGATTATATAACACAGTTTTACTAGACTTTTATACTATCACAAATATTCTTATTTTTATCCACCTAGTTTCTAGTAATAAAAGAGTCCTGATTTTCCTTTGGAGAAACTTCTATCCCCCTCACTTTTAGTTAATTTGGTTCACATAGAGCTAATCTCAATCCTAACTGTATCCCATCTGCACCACTAAATTTAGGAGTGAACATATGATCCAGACTTGCCCAGAGCATTCCATCTTTCAGATCACAGTGATTGGTTCAGGGCATATTACCCAAGCTAAGCCAAAGAGACCTGATCCTATATTTGTTGAAGCCATTAAATTGGGTTGATGCTATTAGAAGAACAAGAATTTTTCCCCTCTGGGGTGGCTAAACTGGTTAGAGAAGTCAGCTGATTGTTATTATGGCCACTCTTAAGGAATGTTTGTTAGAAGATAAAGCTACCACAGAATAAAACAGAAGACAGCAATATTCATAATGACACTGTTAGAGCCCATGGACCTACCCATGCTTGATTTGAGTATTCTGTTTCTTATGTACCAATACATTCATTCTACTTTCAGTCATTATGAATTTTTGGATTGCCATCCTCAATCAGCAGTATCAGCCTCATCCTCAATCTAATGCATTACCAAAATATTAAAATCTGTAATCTTTTTATGTATGTGTACTTTGGGTCATATCTCTCAAACAAAGAGTAAACAAACATTTATTTATATAAATTAAATAACTACTAACTGACCTTCTCCAAGACCACATACTCATGTCTATGAGAATGTAGAAAAAAAGCAATCTGTTTTTATGACAGTCTCTCATATATGCATAGAAAGCTAAGCCCAAATCAACTTATGGTACTAAGCAACGGGTAACTTCATGAAAGAGCCAGGTGGTGATAAAATCGAAACAAAGAATGCAAATGCATACACATGCACATTTTAAGTCAGTAAGAACTGGTTTTAAAACTTAAGGGAGAAAGCGGAAACAAGAGGCTTAAAGAAAGGTACGATCTGTGATACTTAAAACTGGAAGAGCAATCTACATCAACAGTATGACCCAAGGACCCCTGGAGACCTGAGATGCTTTCAGGAAGTTTGTAAGGTTAAAACTATTTTTAGAAGACATTATTTACTTTTTTCATTCTCATTCTCTCACTAGTAACTAGTAACAGTGTCGTTTCCAAGAGGTTTCATGATGTGAAAATGTCACCACACTGATAGCTAAAAGGATGTGCATTTGATATTCTGGTGTTCTAAAAAATTTATTTTAATTTCTAATATAAGTGTTGAAAAACATAAATCAAATAAAAAGCAATATGGCTCTTTGGGTGTTCAATTACTTTTAAGAGTTGTAAAGGTCTTAAAAATGTTAATCTATGAATGAATCTGTTGTTTTAAAATCAAGTCCATTTATTAGAGTTTTAAAGAGCAGAAAGAGTTTTAAAAGTTGGCAATTTTAGAAAAATGATCAAGCATATGTAAGACATTGTTCTTTACAGAAAACACAATACACTAAAATAAGTAATAAAAAACTTAAAGAATAACAAAAAGATGTTAATAGAATAGAGTCTTAGTAAGCAAGAACATTGAAAATACGAGCAATTAAGAAGTAAGTAGTTGGCAATTCAAACACTACTTGAAAAAATTAAGGGGAAGCCTTGACCCTCTGCAGCAGGTTAATCCAAAACCTCTTGCAATCCAAACTGCAGAGACAGCAATGAGAATTGCAGATATAAAGGATTTTTTTTTCTTTAAGAAAAACAAAAACCCTGACTAAAGAAAGTTTCTAAGTTAACCAAATAGTTGCTCAAAGAAAGAAAAGGCAGTGTTTAAAAATATTTCCTTAGTGCATTTAATACTTATTTTTCAAAAGGAAAAATTTAGGAAAAGAAATATACCTGAAAATGGCTGGGTTACGGACATGCTTTGGATCCAACGCTTCTCCCTGTATAAATTCATAGCATAGCCCATTATTGAAGGTACAGTAGAGTTGTGGTGCACAGCCATGAGCCTGCAACACTCGAAAACTCTTTACTTCTTCATCTCGATCGACTAACAACTCAGTCTTATTGCCATAAATTCTCACCAGGACTACATCCTCCATTGTATTACCCACATAACAGCCGATAAGTTTATTTGTGATTCCATCTGTGAAGAGCTGCCAGAAAAAGAAAAGATGGGGAAAAAAGCAATTATATATTTTTAAGGAATGGAATAGGAAATAACTTGAAAATAATGAGTTAAATACTAATTAAAAGAAAATTATGTACTTAACATAAAAGAACCTTTGGGTACAATTTTATCAAACATGTCTATAATGTTAATTCTAGATTTAAACAAAAAGGAGTGCTAATGTTTAACATGTTGTCCTTAATTCCTATAATATCATGTCGTCCTTGATCCAAAAGTGTTAATTATTCACTCCATCTCCAATATCTCTCTTTTTTTTTTTTTTTCTTTTTTGTCTTTTTTTCACGTCTGGCAACGGATCGCAACCCTCAGTGTCACACCCGTACCGGACCGGGACCGGCAACGGGATCACAACCCTCGGCGTTGCTCCCACACCTCGCTCAGCCAGTGAGCGGGAACCGGTCTGTATGTGGGATCCGAACCCTCGTCCATCTCCAATATTTCTATACAACTTTTTTAATGTCTTTTATCTCAGTCTGCCTTGTACTTCAATCATTGACTTGTACACACCAACACAATCTCTATAATGTCAAATAGACTGGAAAACTGCTCTCTTCTTAGCATGGTATATTATATATAAAAATCTTTAATAATGTTCGCAGACTCAAATATTATCTAGCATAACTTACATTATGGTAAATCTCCAATTCACAAAACCTCAATTTTAAATATTAACTTTAAAGATTACTTAACATAACATGGATTAAACAGTGTGTTAAGCACTCAAGTTATAACAGTTTAAACTTGAATGCTATGGCTAAAGAGAAGCACAACCTTAATTAGAGGTAGATAAAAAGGTATGTAGAGATTCCTACACTATTTTCTAAATGGGACTTCGGGACTTTTCAAAAGCTTTAAGTCAAGTACTTCAAATCCTTTTTTATATCTGAGCACAGATGGTACATTTAAAAAGTAAACGGTGATCAGCAATACTAGCTCTCGAAGGCAATTGAAAAACTGTAATTTTCATTTTCCCATATACTAATTTGACACTAGAACTAACTCTTCCATTTACCCAATTGTAATTGAGGACTTTTGAAGGTTCTCAAGGGGAATAAAAGAAGAAAAGGAAAAAAGTGAAAGCAAGAGTTAAGCATATTTTTTCCAAGACAACTAGGCAAGAACAAGAAAAAAGGACAGAAGATAAGTTTTAAAAGAATGTGTGCACATTTAATGCCTGAGAAAGAGGGTAAACGTTTCTATTTCAATTAGATTGTGATCTAATTGATTGTGATCTAATAAACGACATATGAAAAAGCTGTAGATCTTCAGAAGAAGATTTGAAAGAAAGTATTTACTAAAATTAATACACATCTAAGAGGTGTTTATATAATGGTTTTTATTATATGCAGGGCTTAGCTGTTATCCTTATTCACCTATTGCAGGTAAAACTGCATGAGCTAGTATAAAGAGACTTTTCTGGAATATCTAGTTTTTTAGGTATGCACAGACATACAAATATTATTTTCCACTTACATTTCAAAAAGACTATATTAAAGAAGACATTGCCAGGAAGTACATGCACTTAAAACAAATGTCAATCACCATTTTATTACAAGCTATATTGAAAAGCATGTTGTTTCTGATTACGATGTATAGACTCACACATGCTATTCTGTAACTTCTTCAGATGTTATATATAGATAAAATATTTCAATTACAGTAATAAACATTAAGAAACTATTTAACATTCTGAAATGCTTATAGTAATAATCTAGGCTCCTCAAATTCCACAAATCATCATCCATGTTTCTTTATTTTCACAGCAAATAGTAGGAACTTAATCCTTAAACACTAGAACCCATAGTTATCAACATTAATGCCTTCTTCATCTAGCTTATAAAAACTGCATTCTCTCATTCTTGCCTACGATAATAAAATAAATTTCCTTAACTGAACATGTTATACTTTACATTTATGTGTACACACACAAACATACATATCAAGACATGCATTTAGGGCCGGCCTGGTGGCGCACTGCTACAGTGCGCCGCTTGGGAGCGCGGCGGCGCTCCCACCGAGGGTTCGGATCCCACATACAGACCGGTTCCCGCTCACTGGCTGAGCGAGGTGCGGGCGCAACACCGAGGGTTGCGATCCCGTTGCCGGTCCCGGTCCGGTACGGGCGCGACACTGAGGGTTGCGATCCGTTGCCAGACACGAAAAAAGACAAAAAAAAAGGAAATAAAAAAAAAGACACGCATTTAAAGATCTAGAGAGAGATAAGATTACTGAATACAGATTACCAAACACTATACAAACATTTATAAAGATAACATAGGGTCACAACTCCAATTATCCTAACTCTAACTTTCTGTATTGCATTAATAGCCACATGTTACAATAAAATGATAGTCAAAATAAATCCCTAGGAAAAAAAATAAAATATACGAATATAACTCCACATTTATAAAAATATTTTATGTATAAATAAGAATAAAAATGTCTACATTCAACAAAATATTAGGTAGTTTAAATCTTCTTTCTTATTTTCTTGTTTCTCCCTAAGCAGTTTAACTTTTCTGTTTTGGATTATGTATGTTTCCTCATTTTTCTGCAATGAACCTGGTTAACTTGTGAAATTTTTAGTGAGAAAGAGAAACACAGCCAAATAGCTAAGCACCAGCCTGGCACTCACAGCTAGGCTGAAGTCCATAAACAATTTCACAGAATACCAACATCAGATGAGGCCGCCCTGTTACCATAAATGAATCAAGACAAAAAAAAAAAAAATTCTGTAATCATGTTTTAAGTGTAGACAAAAATATGACCTCTGTCCAAAACACAAAAATTTTTGAAACATCCCCCTATCCTGGCTAATATGAGTGACTCCTGCTGCTTTTCCAGTCACAGCTTTGACCATGCTTCACTCCCCCAGCCTACTAGTAAGATTAACATACCCACAAGTCATAGATTTATCCCACCTCCTTCCTGACAGGATCCAATGCAGAGGAGAGCCCTGCTACCTTGAATCCTCCCCCAAATCACTAGACAAATCCCCACCATTCTCCACAGTGTAGTCTCCCTTACTGCAATGAGTAATAAATCCAACTTGTTCAGCTTCAGGTGTGTTTCTATTGGTCTTTGGCTAGAGAAAAATGACTTTAGTTTAAAGATTTACAAATAATGCTTCTTGCCTTTACATGGTTCCCACCTCATATGTGAGGGTACTTCAAAAAGTTCATGGAAAGATTATTATTATCTTTTAATTCTATTTTTCCAATGGACTTTGTGACATACCCTCATATAAACCACAAGTAACTCAATGTGCTGAACCATCCAAAATATACTTTTAAAATATACTAGACATATACTAGATACTTATACTATACTAGATATATATTAGAAATATTTTTAAAAGTCCACATTAGTGGAGGTGGGACAAAACTAATACAAATGTTATGGAGTGTCTTTTAATGGGGTTGATCCTGCACTGTCTGTCAAGTATTTCAGGAGTTCAGAGGATGAGCTACAGAACCAGACAGCCTGAGTTTGAATCACAGCCTGAGTTTGTAGCTCTGCTACAACAAACTGAGTAACCTTAGGCAAGTCCATTAACTTCTATGTGCCTCAATCTCCTCATATATAAAATCTGTAAATTAGAATCTACTCTGTAGTGTTATCAGGGTTAATGAGTTAACATAAAAGCACCTTAGAACAGGGTTTGGCACACAGAGTAAGCTCCTTTAATGTATCTAATGATATATTTAAATTTTAACACAAGACAGCAAAATACAAGAGTACTTCAAAATGTTCACGAAAAAACAGTGAATGAAGACAAAATCTATGTTAAAATATTTGAAAACAATATTTCTTATATATATATATATAAAAGAAATAAACAATGTTTATTATTAAACAATATTATAATATATATATATATATATATATATATATATATATATATAAAGAAATATTGTTTAAGTAACTTAAATCCAGATAGTTAAATGTTAAGTATGATAATTTCTGGGCAAATTCACTTTTCACACATAAAAAATTAAAGACTTCAATTTAGTGAGTCAGAAATGCCATTCAAAGTTATTCTTCCAAGTTAGCACTACCCTACATTTGGTTTTGTATGACTAGCCATATTCTGTTAAACTTTAATCCCTAAAATGAATACAGCTAGGTTAGCGAATTTAGCCCTGAACAACTTCTAATCTTTAGTTTAAATATTAACAGCTTTTAATACTAGGTAAATTAATAATGGATTCTAAATTGTTCTCTCCTTTACCTCATCACATGGTTTTAAAAAACAACATATACACTGATTAAAAATAGGATTTAGTCTGCTTTCTCTGCTCCAACATTTTCACAATGTTATACCCTGCCATCACTATCACCACCACCAGGGTCTTCACCAAATGTGTTTCCCGGACTTTGGACTTCCCAGCCTCCGAAACTTGATGAGTGTGTGTCCTGCAGGAGCCAAGGCCTGTAGTCACTGAGATAAACCTAGATACCTGGCCCCGGACCCAGTAGTCAGAGAAGCTGGAGGAGGATCCAGGGAAGGTACATCAGTTGTAGACCCAGACGCTGATCACATCAATAAGAGGTGCTGCTGTTGTTTGCTCTCCATTATATTAAAAGTGCCATTAAAAAAGGTTCAAATATGTGCCTGACAACCCTCCTGCCTGTGGAGAGATCAGATATGTCACAAAAGCCTGGAGTCTAGCAAGAGAGAATGCTCCGAACCATTTTTATACTCTGCATTTCAACTGGTTGATGATTTCACTTCTTTACAGGCTACTAAGGCTGCAAAAGGAGTGAGAACTAACCAGCCACTAAATCTGAAACACCGAGGAGGTTAGAGTAGCTGGGGTTATCATCATCTCTCAGTGAACACATAAAGTATTAAACCTTTTTGGTCTCACTTTTGTGACAGATTCTGACAAGAACATAAAATAAAAACTTAAGTTAAAAAAAAAAAAAAAAA